CTGATTTTGGCTAGGTTGGACTATTGGACTTCCGCTGGGCCAGAATTAAAAATTCTACTAACATTAGGGTTAAAATTCTAGGTTTGAAGATTATGTGCAAAAGCAATAAAGAGCATTACAAAAACAGGAGAGATTACCAAGGAAGAAAGGAGAAGATAGGATAGAGTTTTGGGGAACATCACATTTAAGAGAAGGGAGATGGAAGGAAGAGTAAGAGAGAGTACAAAGAACAGTTAGAATGCTATCACAGAAGCCAAAGGAAGAAAAAATATCTAAGAGAGGTTGGTTATCAGGAAAAAATACTGTAGAGAAGTCAAAGAGGGCTGAAAACAAATCCACTAGATTTGGGGATAGGAAGTTCATTAGTAACCTTGAAGAAAGCAGCTTCAGGGGAGTTGTAGGGATAGATGTTAGATCATAAGAGGATGATACAGAAAGAATGAGTGGGGATTAACTGGTGTTTCTGTAAGTTTCTGTAAGTAATGGGGATGACTCTATCTATATTTTCACATCTTTCTTGAAATTTCTATGTTCATATCTATATGTATTTCTGGACCTGTTATTGCTGCAAGGAACTCCCAGTGAAGAAATGCCCTCTTAGCATGTAGAACAGCAACTGATCTAAAACATACAATCTTAGCTGCCTGGAAATGAAAGATTAAGTGACTTGCCCAGAGTCACACAGCCAGTATGTGTCAAAGGTAAGACTTCAACCTAGATCTTCCTGAGACCACGGAAGGCTCTTTACTCACTATGCGGAAGCTAGGTGGTACAGTGGATAGAGCACTGGCTCCAGAGTCAAGAGGACCTGAGTACAAATCCAGTCTCAGAAACATATTAGATGTGTGACCTTGGGCAAGTCACTTAACCCTGATTACCTTTCACAAAAAAATCAGTAGGCCATGCTGCCTTTTATTATTATATTTTTAAAACTTACATTATGGCCATCTTTATTATTAATATGCTTTTAAAGAACATAAGCTTTCATAGGACAATGACTGCATCATATATGTCTTTTCATTTCTCACAGGACTTTGCACACAATGAAGGTTCAATGGTTTGATTGATTTCATACAGCAATATTTTAAATCATCAAATTTCACTTAAACATGGAATTCAGGGCATTTTTCAAATAGAATGGTCATCTGTAGCTAAGATACCAAGGAAAGAATAGCAGCAAGAAGTGAAGCAAGGGTTACATTTGAACAATGGAGTAGAATACATGCCCAAAGTATTGCCACACTTAGTGTTTGCATGTAATTCCTATGCAAATAAAACTATGATAAAACGTATAATGATTTCTTTGCTTCTCAAGAAACAAACCCAAACAATGAATAGGTTCTCTAATTCCCATAGCTTCTTAACGCAGTATTTAAAGCAGGAAAACTTAAAAACAAAAAAAGCTAGCTCATACAAATTAGACTTTTATACACTTTTTCCCTCATTAGATACATACTTAGAAAGTTTAAAAAATATTTTATTTTATTACATGGAATAGTTATTTACTTCTAAATCTACTCTATAGATTTAGATAGAATGAAAAGAAAGGGGCTTAATTATTTATTATTTTATTATTACTACATGTCACGCACTGTGTTAAACACTTTACAAATACTGTCTCATGATCCTCACAACAACTGTGCAAGGTAGGTGCTATTATCTCCATTTTATAGTTGAAGAAACTGAGACAAACAGAAGTTAAGGGACTTGCCCAGGGTCACACAGCTAGTAAGTATCTGAGGGCACATTTGAACTCAGGTCTTTCTGACTGTAGATCCCTTGCTCTGTCTACTGTGTTTGTGGAGGACCTAAATGCTGGGCAAAGGAAATTGTAAATTACCTTCCTAAAAACAGGGAGTGACTTGAGTGGGAATGACATAGATTTGTGTATTCTCAAATGTTTGTGAAGAAGGATATATTAGAGAAAGGAGATACTAGAGGCAGGGAGACCAAGTACGGTGGCACTAACTAAAAAGGTAATAAAGCAATGAACCAAGGTGATGGTAAATGAGAGTGGAGAGGGATATTGTGTAGACAGATAGGGCCAGAGGAAGAAGGAAGGGTCAGAGATGGCTTGAAAGTTTGAATCTGGAGGGCTGGGAAGATGGTGGCCATCACTAACAGAAATAGGTGAATTGTAGAAGGGGTAGTTATTTATTTATTTATTTTTTAGTTTGACACTTTGGCAGAACATTCAGATAGGGAAAGTTAGAAGGTAACTGGAAATGGGGGACCAGTGCTCAGGGTAGGAGAGACATCTAGACAGAGGTGGTAACTGAAACAATGGGAGAAAGGAAGATCATGAAAGAAGAGATGATTGACAGAGAAGAGGGCAATGGACAGAGATTTAGGAGGACATATATATTTTAGAAAGGGATGAGAAAAACCAGTGAAAGAGAATGACGCCTGGCCAGAACAAGAGGGAAACCCCCCCCCCCCAATACTATTGTCTTAGAAGCCAAAGGAAGAATTCTCAGGAGTATGGGGGTAGCCAACAGTGTTAAATGTAGCAAAAAGTTGGTGGATGAGGTCTGAGAAAAGGTCATTGAGAAAATCATTTATATGCAGTGACAAGAGTCAAAAACCATTATTATATGGTTTCAGAGATCACAGAATTAGAGCTGGAAGGGACCTTAGAAATCAGCAAGTCCAATCTTCTCATTTTACAGATGAGGAAACTGAGGCACAAGAGTGACTTGCCCAGGGGTCATATAATTAGGAAGTGAATTTTAGGTTTTCTTTTTTCCAAGTTCAGCACTCTATCCACTATTTTAACTAGAGATGCCTCTCTGTGCCAGTCATAAATGGATGAAGGATAAATGGATGAAGGATAAATGGATGGTAGATGATAGTTTTATTATAATAGGATCACAGAAAAGTGTTTTTTTTCCTCCCCAAGTATAAAGGAAAGAAGAACAAGTCTATTGGTGGTAGAAAAGGAGTAAGTAGAAGAGAAACTGATGGAGAGGGAGAGTGGGAATGATTAACAAAACAAGTTTTGCCTTCATTATCTGACAGCTAACCATTAGAACTGTCTGGATACCTTACATAAAAGTGGGTTTTTCTGGCTTTTCTTTGATAAGTGTTTTAATTTTCTATTTTAATTTGTGTATCTATTAAGAATTACAACAACTCAAAAAATCTTTATATTTACATAGGACTTTAAGATTTACTAAGTACTTTCTACAGAGCCCCGTGAGGTAGGGGGCATGTTAGCATGATGATCCTATATTTTTGGGTGAAGGAATTGAGGCTCAAAAAAGTTATGTGACTTTTGGTGAAGGGGGTCTCCTGGGTCTACATGTCCAACACCTTCCACAAGTATGCCTCACTTTCTGTCATTGTTGGGTTTTTGGAGAAAGGCAAAAATGTACAGGAAGAACCAATATTGATGTCTTGTAGACCCCAAACAACATTTTTATGATATGAAGTCTGGTGATATCCTTTCCCAGAGTGAGGAAAAGAGAAACACAACTGTGTTCAATTTAGCTAATCCAGAACAACTGAGTGATCTAAAGCCTACTACTACATATGCAGTTATTTCAAAGCCCTTTTTGAATCCCAAAGTACACACTTGTCAAAAAATCCATTTCTGTTAGAAATGCTATCTAGGTATTGTAGAGAAAGTTCAACAGGTGAATTTCACTAAAGAACAGAATACTTGTCTCCATTTTCTGCAGTTCATTCACCATTATAAAGCAGAAATATAAAAAGGTAAAAACTATGATTACAGACTGAGGTAGAATACTGGGAGGACCTTCTGGATAATTCAGTTCAAAGGGACACTTTCACCTAAGTAATTTTAATTTTATTTGTCTTGGCAGACGAATCTGTACACTTTCTCATGACAAAAATATGCATCTATATAGTCAGTTTACATAGTGCTTTCCTCATGACCGTCTGTGAAGGAAGTAGTGGGGGTAATATTATTTCCATTCTACAGATAAGGAAACTGAACCTCAAAGAGTTGAAGTGACTTGTCCACACTCACAGAGCCAGCATTCAAATTTGACAGCACAGAGGACAGGGCGAGAGAAAATCCAATATGTTTTTCTGTTTCACTAAACCTCTGTTTTATCTGAATTCTCAGGGTCTTATTTTGCAGTTTTAAATGGAAAGCCATCTCGGATCTCCTCAGAAGTAGACTGATTTATACTCTTATCACAGGACCACGGATTTAGAACAAGATCTTAGAGCACATCTAATTCAATCTGGCCATTATACAGATGAAAAAAAAGGAAGGCCCAGAGAGGTTAAGCCACTACATAAGTAGAAAAGCTGAAGAGACAGGATCTAAACACATGTCCTCAGAGTTTAAATCTAAGAACTTTTCCCACTGTGCAATACTATTTCTCTTGAATAAATAAATTACCAGGACAGATAGCATGAAATAGTGTTTTAATAATTATGAAATAATTCTAAAAAAAACTGAGAAATGACAAAGTTTGGGGCTTGACTCTTCTGGATTCTCCAATCTGGATTTCCCACTTAGGGAAATAGTGTACCTATACTACATTCTTGGAGTCATAGTGAGAACTTATCCCTTAAGTAAAGTTCTGTGTAAATGTCAGGTATTAGCTTGGCCAGTTCAGCCTGCAGGACAGCCTGCAGGCAATTATATAACAAACCCAAATCTGATTAGAATTTCCCCATAAAATGAGAATCAAAGAACAGATCAAAGTTAATTCTGGTGACTTCGTTATTGAAAGGTATAAACAATGAGACTGAATCATTCTAATCCATCCTGGGGTTGCCCCCTCTTCCCAATTAAGTGGTATAAACAAACAAATAAATAGCTTCCTCTAGCTATCTTTTATAGAAGTTAAAAACATATATGTACCATGGTTGTAATTTAACACCAAATCTAAATATCTTTTTGCTGTGTAGTGTCAAATCTGATCCTTCAACATTCCAGGAAGCTGAATTTACAGAAATTGTGAGAGTAAATAATACATTTTTTTTTAAAATAAGGCAGAAACAAAAAAGGGCGGGGGGCTTACCTTGCAGCCTTCACATGTAATGACACCATAATGGATTCCTGATGATTTGTCTCCACAGATCTTGCATGGAATAATTTCAATTTGAGCTGCAACAGAAGCACGCAACCAGTTAATTACATTTTCTTTTAAACACCTTATAAAAGCGTTCCCTGATCAGCATTTGTATAGTGAAAACTAATAACCTGCTAAACATTATACTGCATTAACTATTCATTGCTGAACTGTGAGGGTCCCCCTAGAGCCTTGGACTGAATTATGGCTGCTTGTTATATAATAGCTTTTGGGTTATTAAAATGGGTCATTTGAGAAGGTGTTTAAGAACCCACAAGAAGGCTAGAATCAGCATTTCAAAGCCTTAAAGAACTGGAGAGTTCGCATTTTAGGCCTCAGGGCTAAACAGATACTAAAATGTTTCCTCCCATCTCATTCTCCCACCATTATTTTTAAAAGGTCATAATTCTGTCTTGGCTGAGAGTCGCATTTATGTAGCTAGAGGAAAATGCATTTCACAAAAGTCATGTCGACTTAGGAAATGTTATAAACCAATTCAGATGATTAATAAGATACATATGACTGAGTTAAGAATCCCCCAATTCATTTTTTCTTCTGATTTAAAAAAAAAAGTTGCTGTGTTAAATGTTAATCCATTTATGTGGATGATCAACCGCTCTATTTCAGCCAGACAGTTAGTTTTCCGTATGTTTTTAATGATGAACCCTGACAAGTAGAATGTTTAGCTAGTAGGTTATTTAAATGAGTAACCGATTCTCTAGCTCAGTGTTCATAGATTCTTGCCAAGTGATTAAAGATGTCCCTCACTTGAAGATTAATCAAGTAATTAATAAATTTTGTACCAAAGTATTTAGAACAAGGTAAAGTATTTTTCTTAAGCACAACAGGACATAAAATGTGCCTTTAAAAAAAGTACATAACTAATGACAAAGAAATAATCCAAGATATGTCATTAGCTCCAAAGAATTTCTTAGATCACATACAAAATGGAAATGTTATATAAAATAATGCATAAAACATTACTGAGCCATATAGACATGATAACTACCTGCACTAAACTTAATCCATGATTTTAACTATCAAATGCTGTATCTACAATGACAGCATATTTACATACACCTCACATTTCCCTCCACGCACACATAAACACATACCATCAACAATGTCTTTTCACAGCCAGTTAGTATATAATAGTGTACATTTACATAGTCTTTTGCATATTTTTGTTGTCTTATTTGATTCTCACAATAACCCTGTGAGGTAGATGGTACAAACATCATCTTCATTTTATAAGGGAATGGGAGGGAAGGAAAGAACTATTTATATAGCATCTACTATTTGCCAAGTGCTAAGCACTTTAAGAATATCACATTTGATCCCTCACAACAACCCTGGGAGACAGATGCTATCATTACTCCCATTTTATAGTTGAGGAAATGGGAGGCAAACAGAGTTTATGTGATTTGTCCAGGGTCACACAGTTAATGAGGGTCTGAGGCTGGATTTGAACTGAGGTCTTCCTGACATCAGGGCCAGCACTCTTATCTACTGCACCACTTAGATGCCTCAAGAATAAAATAGAAACTAAGTGCTATTGTAAGACTTTCTCTCCAGGTCATATGAGGCTACTTGAACCAAGGTACCTATGCTGCTCTTCACTGTGACCTATTCATGTGAAAGAACTAAAACCGCCTGCATATGATTTTGTGCTGATGCCACCTAGCACTGGCACATTGCAAAGCTTCTTAAATCAGGTCCACAACCACCCAAGAGTTGAACAAGCAACACAGAAAAAACCAAGAAGATGAAGAATGACCATCATTTGCACTATTTATGGAGTTGGGCTGTCTGTATGTCTTTAGTCTGTATGCCCCTGACAATCCCTGCAGATGGACAAAGCATATTTTCTTCTTATCCCTACCTCATAAAATCTCTTCTTTTAAGATGCAGCTTGGACATTCTCTTCTGCATGAAGCCTTTCCTGATTGCACCCTCTCCCCTAACTATTAGTGCCTTTCTTCCCATAGTACTTTCCATTGAGTTACTTTGTAGATATTTGCATTTATTCACTTTATATTTAAGCTACCTATATTTTTATACATGTATCTTATCTCCCATTAGAATGTGAGGAGAGATTGTTTCATTCTCTCTACTTGTATCCTCAGACTCTGGCACACAGTAGGTATTTTATAAATACTTGTTGATTATTATTATTTTTAAAAATACTTGTTGATTATTAAAGAGTGGCAGAGCATCTCATGTTATTTTTATGGAAAAGATGCAAAGATATATGTGAGATAATGGTAAAACTAGATGGATTTGGAACTGTTTGGAGGGATGGACTTTGAGTTATTAATGGTTTGATGTCATATGGAAAAGTAAGAATTAGATGTGTTCTGTTTGGCTCCTAGAAGGCAAAATTAGGATCACAGATTAAAAGCTAGAAGGGAACTTAAAGGAAATCTAGTCTAATTTTCTCTTTTTACAGATAAGGACACTGAGGCCCAGAGATGTTAAATAGCCTACTGAATTGTTATATTCCATATTACTGAAGGTCACACAGGCATTAAATGATAGAGGTAGAAGCACCTCTGACTCCACATTCTTCCCACTGACCCACACTGGATGGAAGATGCAAACAAAATTAAACTTGGTGATAGGAAAAAACTTTCTAACAATGAGAAAGCTATTCAAAATGAATGTACTGCTTAGAGAAGAATCAAGTTCCCCCTTATGGAAGGTCTTCAAGCAGAGATTGGACAGCCAATGATTGGATATGTTACAGGGAGAAATTTTTTTGTTTGTTTTGGTCATGAGTTGGCCTAGATGGTCACTGAGATCCCTTCCAAATCTGAAATTCCATGATCCTGAGTGGGGTATATTACTGGATAGGAATAAGAAAGGACTGGGTTGCATTTGGGAAATCGTACAATGGGTTAAAAAATCTCAAGCTTCTCCCCGAGCCAAAAAAATCCCCACCTTTAAATAGTAATGCTCATGCAGCAATGCTACATGGCTGAAAGTCACAAAATATCACAATCTGTCAACAATAAAAACTGCAGGTGACTCAAAGCACAATGAAGAAACAGACAGCAGGCAAGTATAGGCTATGGCATATTGCCACTGAAAATTACATGCAAGAAGTGACATTAATAATATCATCCAAAATATTTGTGACTGGAAAAGTAACATGCATTCATAGTGGTGTCTTTTGTTTGTTCACGATGTAAATTCCATATACTGGATTATGCAATTAGGAAAACTTAAAATTTGCAGTCTTTTCTGTGCCAGCATTGACTTTGAGTGCTCCAAAATCATTAGTCTTTTTGATATCTGCAACTGACCACTTAAGTAACCTGTGCTACTTGCTATTTTCAGTATCATGAAATCAAACTCTTGAATAACGTCATAAATAGCAGAAGAGGCAAATTATTGCACACAAGAAACTGGTGACAGCTTTGAGGGGCAACATCTGCCAACAGTTACTTCTAATTTTTTCTCTTAATGATTAAAAGGAAAGAATCAAGTCTTTATTCCCCAGTTTCCAGGATTCTACTGATGTCTAACATCTAATGATAATCAGAAAATGGAAAAATTTTATTAGGTCATCTAGTTCACACCTCTGGAAGGGCTGCCTGAAGCCATAGCAAAGTATGCTGGTAGTCAACTCCATTCTCCCTGACATATAGAAACTGATTACAGACCATTTAAGTCACATGTATGAAAATGAAGGGAACTGAGCAGGTCATGTCAGGAAGATGTGTAAAATATCTAAAAGAGTTTAGAAGTATCTTTATTAGATCTAAAACAAGTTATTTTAGAAAAATCCAATTTGGTTCATAAGTTGACTGATTATGAGAAATGAACTGAAGTGGGCAGGGTTTTGGGGCCAAAACACTTAAATAAAAAGGAAAATAATCTGATAAGTATCTATGTATCTAGTTATTTTTACCACTCATTTTTTAATTAATTTTTTAAAATTTTTAAATGTTTTAACATTTTTATTTAAAGTTTTGAGTTCCAAATTCTATCCTTCCCTCCCTCACCTCTCCCCTCTCTGAGATGGTAAGCAATCAGATCTAGGTTACACATGTGCAATTAGGTAAAACATTTCCCTATTAGTCATTTTGTACAAGAAGACTCAAATAAAAGAAAAAAAGATGAAAGAAAAAAAGTGAAAAATAATATACTTCAGTCTATATTCAGTCAATATTAGTTCTTCTCCGGAGATGGATAGTATGCTTCATCATTAGCCCATTGGGATTGTCTTGGATCATTGTTTCGCAGTTCTTCATTGAACAATATTGCTGTTATGGTGTACAATATTCTCCTGGTTCTTTTCACCTCACTACTATCAGTTCATGTAAGTCTTTCCAGGTTTTTCTGAAATCATCCTGCTTGTCATCTCTTATAGCACAATAATATTCCAACACAATCATGTACCACAGCTTGTTTAGCCATTCCCCAATTGATGGGCATCCCTTTGATTTCCAATTCTTAGCTACCACAAAAAGAGCTGCTATAGGTCTTATTCCCCTTTTTTGGATGTCTTTGGGATATAGATCTAGTAGTGGTATTGCAGGATGGCCATAGTTCCAAATTGCTCTCCACAATGGTTGGATCAGTTTACAACTCTACTGACAATGCATTAGTGTCCCAGTTTACCCACATGCCTTCCAACACTTATCATTTTCCTTTTTTGTCATATTAGCCAATCTGACAGGTGTAAGGTGATACCTCAGAGTTCTTTTAATTTGCATTTTTCTGATCAATAGTTATTTAAAGCATTTTTTTTCATATGACTATAGATAGCTTTGATTTCTTTATCTGAAAACTGCCTGTTCATAACCTTTGACCATTTATCGATTGGGGAATGGTTTGTATTTTTATAAATTTGACTCAGTTCTCTATATATTTGAGAAATGAGTTATTTATCAGAGATACCTGTTGCAAATCCCCCCCTCCCAGTTTTAAGCTTTCCTTATAAATTTGGTTGCATTGGTTTTGTTTGTGCAAACACTTTTACATTTTATATAATCAAAACTATCTATTTTACATTTTATAATGATCTCTA